TTACTACTAGTATTCATAAATGGATTCCTTCACCCTTTCCATCGTCAATTTTATTGATAAGAGACAGAGAACTCATGCCTTCTGATAATCTCAAAGAACTCCTCATCAGAGGGTAAGACTACACACTCTTGCAACATCAAGAAATGGTCACGCACCTTTATTTACGTGGGATTATTTGATGAATAAAACTTTGAAAGTTCATGTTGAAGAGGCCTTATTTGCGCTTGATTTGGCTGAGTATTTGTAATAACAAATGGAGATGATCGAACAAAAATATGGGATTAATTTGAAGATATTCAGAGGCAAACTTGGTCTTGTCATAAGATTCATTAAACCATCAGATGAGATGTGTTTCAAGTATGGACTTGTAGTCCAAGGAGGTGAGGCTGTGCTTTGGCAAATGTGTGAAGTCCCCTAATATCTGCCTTAGTTAATAGATGATAGAAAATCGTCAATGCAAGTTAAATAGCTATTAGACTCTTAGTACGATGACAAAGGCGTTGATAAGTAGCATGCATAATAAGATGATAAAATTTAAATAATCAAATAACTACTATAACCAAGACTCCTTGCCATAACTTAGATTCCATAATCATGAGATAATCAATCTCTAGAGCTTCCATTAAGATTTGCAAAGTAAGTTTGACGATCATACACTGCGATAACTTAGTTTCCCTACAAGACATCATAACTTTGAACATATGAGCCCCTACCTTCGTCATTATTTGAATAACCACGGTGACTCATTCTAACTCTATTAAGACTTCTATAGTTTAAGAACTAGGCAATTTGAGAAATAAGTGATCCGTTGGTTTTCCGAACTATATAGATCTCCTAATCCAGAAAAAATATGGGGTTACATGCCTTCAGGTTCTACAGAGAGTAACTTATAAGCATTCTATTTAGCAAGATAATACTTTAAGGATCGGTAGGATGTAGCAGTTTTCTTTTCGTAGCATGGTCACTCATCCCTGAATAAATGCATTAACTACTTGAAAATGAATTCATTCAGTTAATTGGCTTCACATTGATGCAGCTTGGTGTGGACCATATGTAAATTTTTTAGATATTGCATCCTAAGATAAAACTAGAGATTTGCCAGTTGAAGAAATAAAAAATGCTTAATTTGATTTTTCATTTGAAGAGGTGAAGAGTATTACTACTAGTATTCATAAATGGATTCCTTCACCCTTTCCATCGTCAATTTTATTAATAAGAGACAGAGAACTTATGCCTTCTGAGAACTCTACATTAGAGGCTAAGACTACACTCTTTCAACATCAAGAAATGGTCACGCACCTTTATTTACATGGGATTATTTGATGAATAAAACTTTGAAAGTTCATATTGATGAAGCTTTATTTGCGCTTGATTTGGCTGAGTATTTGTAATAACAAATGGAGATTATCGAACAAAAATATGGGATTAATTTGAAAATATTCAGAGGTAAACTTGGTCTTGTCATAAGATTCATAAAACCATCTGATGAAATATGTTTCAAGTATGGACTTCTTGTGCAAGGAGGTGAGGCTGTTGTGTTTATTATGCCTGAAAAAACGAAGGAACTCTGCGATAACTTTATTGAGGATTTAAAAAATGATTTTGTTTTTAAGTCGAAATCATGATAATTAATAATTAAGACTTTAAAATCTTTATTTACTTAATCCATAGAATTTTAAAAATAATGATAAGCGGGGTTTTGGGGTTTTGGGG